ATCAGACACAAAACTCTCTGACTTTAAACATAATGCAGTTATTCATTGTGCTCTAAAAGCCCCAAGTACAAATATAATAATAAGCAAACGCAAAACAGATGAACTCATGGGAAATCACATTGGCTTAAATAAATGGCCCAGCTATTTCATAATCTACTTATTTCTGTAATTGATAAATCCAGTTACTTACAATTATGATCAACATAAATATTTATAAAGTTGGGCAAATAAACCAGGACACATAAATTTCAGCAATTCTAGAGTGATATTAATAATAAACTACATCATACATTGATCACTACTCAATAAATGCTTCCCAAAACCATGTTATGTGGGTTCTTATAATCTCTACAGATGATGAAGATGGAAGTCATAGAGGTAACTGCCCAAAAGTGATGGGTGCAAGTTACCCTCGTGTTCTTCTTTGCTTCAAATATTGTGATCTGACTAGACTCTATTTTTATTTATTTTCATATGCTTTGATTATCAGTAATCTGATATTATTTTATAATAATATATATAATTTGAATAGATTTTATAATCCCTAGGTATAGTGATGAGAATAAGACACAAATAATTACTGTAAAAATGCAACAAAAAACTAAATATCCAAATAGAAAAAAAATCTATGGAAGTATATTTAAATAATAACAAATAGGTGGTTTAATTATTGAGGCTTTTTAAAAATACAACTCTATTTTAAAGCCTTAAAAATTAAATATTTAATTTTAACTTGAAAAATATGAGAAATGCATTGGGTATTAAAATTACACGCTGAAATTAAAAACAACTCTTTCTTAAGAAAGGTAATGATATCTTACCTCCAAAATCTAGCACAGCACTTGATATATTATAAAACCTAATATCTGTTGATTTAAATTTATACTAACCATTTTATATATCACGGTATTATAGTATGTAATCAATGGAGATTAATAGCATTCCTTATAAATCTAAAGTTATTTTGTTTTCTAATACCAATACTTTAATTTTTGACTCACAATCAATCCTATCTTTTTTGAAATATTTTAACAAGTTGCTTTATGTGACATATATATATAAGATTAATTTTATGAAACTCCAAATTAGAATATATATCTCAGATATGGTTATTATCTTTATCACACTGAAAATATATAAATACTTTCATTAAATTAGGTAAAATAAGATTATATAGAGAAGTTATAAGAAAATAAAATATCCAGTACCATAAAATAATTTTTGTTCATTAGATTAAGGGAATGTCAATATAAACAAATTCTAAAGGCATTCTCAGTCGTTTTTACATGCCATCAAGGTGTAAAATCTCTCTAATTGGTAAAAAGTACCAAAAGAAGGAATCATTACATAAAGAAAGATGATATGGAATGCAGCAGAGACTTCTCCAAATACTTACGGGAATTGAAGTAAATCAGAATAGACTGACAGGAGAGTTTGTTCAAAAATGTTTTCTTTAAGCAGCAGTGATGAAGGTACAATGTTCAATTCAGTGGTGATAATAGCTATCAATACTGGGCATGGAAGTTGCAGAAGATGATAAGTGTGCTCATTTAGTTTTTTGTTCAGAAAAATACATAGATATTTTTCTGCATCCTCAAAGACAGACAACAAAAATAGCCTGGGTGAGCACACTGTAAATGATTTTGAATTGCCAACCCCTAAAAATGTGTTTCTTAGTGTATAGTTTTTATGCCATTCTTTGTATTTCAACTGCTTAACTGTTATTTCATTTCCAAAGGACTGCTAACAACATATCCTTGATAATGTAGCTTAACAGTTAAACACCATGCTTTTAAAACTGTGCATAGGTATAACCAAAGATATATAATAAGTATAGTGGATCTTCCTGAATTGTCAATTTATTCTACAACAAAAGCAATCATATTGTGGATACAGTATTAAATAATATATGCAAATATTTTTTAAGATGAAGCATTTTTGATAATAGTTCAATCAATAGATCAATAGATTAATGGATGATGGATAGAGGATGGATGGATGAATCAACTGATGGATGAGTAGATTTGTACATGTAATAGCCATTAATTTTCTTTTGTAGCTTCTCTCTGGGAAACTAATCCTGGCACAATTAGGATTTTTTCCAACAAGGTTACTGCCACCTTTCTTATAGAATCTGATGAAAATGATTATATTGGATTTAATGCAACATATACTGCATTTAACAGCAGAGAGCTTAATAGTAAGTGTTGTTTATTATTTAGCCTTTGGATTTTCAGATGACTTAATATTGTAATGGAATTTTAAAAGTAGCAAAACTTTTTAGAGCAAGGTCATAATCTGTTTCATTATGCATGTTCTTTAATGAAAATTTCAACCTCTAGTTGGTAATTGAATAAAATGAGAAATTAGGATATAGATCATGTTATTCAAAAGAATCAAATAATTTGAGAAAAATCATAAATCAATATAAAAATTAAATTAAATCTTTACTGCAAGCATTCAAAAAATATATATGCATAATATATATATTAGCACCAAACTAATTCTGAGAATGTTCCACATCAACTTAATTTTGACCTGAGTATTCAATTTAGTAAAAGGGAGGGAAAAAAATATGGAACAAGTTTTACGCGAGTAAACCAATAGGTAAGATATAAAATTTAAAGAGCAATAAGAATAAGCTTACCTTTGCTTAAGCACTCCTGGAGTATAAGAAACATATTAATTTAATACAGTTAGCAACAAAAATCTATTTCTTCAACTAAGTGGAATAAAACAGATTTAAGATGAATTAAAAAAAGGATGATTGTGTTCATGCCACTTAATTATAAGATGCATAAGGTTAGATTATTTTCAATGCAATCTATTACAACTAGTCACACTGTGGACAAAATTTGAAGTGTTTTCTTTCTTTCTATTTTTTTAATTCACAGATTCTGAGAAAATTAACTGTAATTTTGAAGATGGCTTTTGTTTCTGGGTCCAAGATCTAAATGATGATAATGAATGGGAAAGGGTTCAGGGAAACACCTTTCCTCCTTTTACTGGACCAAATTTTGACCACACTTTTGGCAATGTTTCAGGTATAATTCACGCTTAATTCAAAAACCAAAAGTGGTTTTGTTGTTCTGTAGTTTAGAGTGAGCCATATTAAACGCAACGCAGTCTTTTTAGGTTTTCTTTGTCAAAATCATAAACTAGCAAATGCTTTTAAAAGAAATGTGGTAATCAAATAGGCAAGTTAAAAACAAGTATTTCAAGAAATATATTCTTCTACCATATATATTCACAAAATGTTGAAAAGTACACAGAGGCCATTGAAGACCTGGATTGTCATCCTAGATTTGCCAGTTATAATTAACGAAGAGGACTTGTAGGAGGCAGTTAACTTTTCTGAACTTTGATCTACTTTGCCTTAATTTCATTTTATGTTCCTCATTGCTAGTATATAGAATACAATTGAGTTTTGTATATGTTGATCTTTTGCCCTACAGCCCTGCTGAATTTGTTAACTCTATTCATTTTTTAAAAATTCCTTAGAATTTTCAGTATACAAGACAGTGTCACCTTAAATAGAGATATAGGGATAGATAATGGTTCTCTGAGAAACTGTCTCCGTCTGTTTGGGTAGCATTAACAGAGTGCCATACACTGGTTGGCTTAAACAACAAACATTCATTTCTTACGGTTCTGGAAGCTGGAAGTTTGAGGTCAGGATGCTAAGCATGACTGGGTTCTGGTGAGAACCCTCTTGCTGTTTCACAGATACCTACCTTCTCACTGTATCCTCACATGAGAGGAAAAAAGAGAACCTCCTATCTTTTCTCAAAGTCACAAATCCCAGCATGAGAGCTCCGCTATCATGGTTTAATCAGCTGCTAAAGGTCCCATCTCCAAATACTATCACACTGGGGATCAAGATTTCAACACAAGAATTTTGAGGTTCACAATGATTCCATTCATAGCAAGAGGTATGGAAGAGTTAATTCTAAGCATGGTCAGGAGGGAAGGGATCTTATTTGCAAGCACATTTTTCATGTGAATAAGATATTAGAATTGAATTTCAGGTGGAAAAATTAACATTGGAGACAATAGTATTTGATTGGGAAAACCCGAAGTCATGGGGAATTATTAGGAGATAAGGAACTCATGGTGAAAAGACCTCCCATGGAAACCTTGGCAGCACGTGTCCATGACACCAAAGGTAATTGCTAAACGGAGAGTTACGTGATCTAGAAGTAATGTGGATATTTAAAAAAGTAAGGAAATAACAAAAACAATGGATTAGAAATGTGTGCACTTAGGCCATTTTCTTTGACAAAAATCCATACTGTAATGAATTGTTAATAGACTACTGATGAGAATGTGATTCAATTCAAAGAACTCATTAAAACTTCCTCTACCCAGGCATTGTTCTAGACACACTGGGGACATGCATCACCTATCACCACTTCTAGGAAGTCTGTCTGGATCCTCCAAGTTGAAATCTCCCTTTCCATTAGACATGATAAGCATTTTCTTACTTGTTGCTTTTCACCACATGTCCTCTTCAGGAACACAACTCTGTGTCTTTCAGCTTTGAATTCCTAGTATGTTCTCTGTGCCTGAATCTAATTACCTGTAAAATTGTTTTTAAATATATGAATGAGTGTCTGCAACTCTGACTCAATAAGTAATTTTTGAATGAGTTATTGACTGAATGAAATTGCTTATAACGTAAAAATAACCCAAGTGCATGTGCATTGCAACTTATGATCAGTGACCATTTCTCTTACAAAAATCAATATTCTCATTTTTTTAACCTGAAAAGTAAAGAGCTGATTTAATGTTAATTGTGAATGACATCTAGGTAAGAAAATATTAAAGGGTTATTTTTTCCTGGGTAAAGATATGTATGACTAATCATGTTCCTTTAGACAATGACATCCCTAAAATAACAAAATATGGTTCATCACACTATTTCAATTTGATCAAAATATTGCTCAATAAAAAGTGACTAATCTATTTTCAGATCTATTCCTATAATTATCAATAAAAGCCCCATTCTGTTTACTCTTTTACTCCTTTATTCTAGAAGTAATTTTTGAGTCCAGGCCTTATTCATGGCCTCAAAATATATCTTTAAACAAGATAAACCAAATTTTCTGCAATCATGGAGCAGATATTTTATCCAAAAAAAAAAACAACCCAGAAAATAAGCAATATTCATGAGAAGGTTAAATGTGAATGAGTGCTCTGGGAACACAGAGAGCTTGATAAAAGCAATAATGGGGAGGGCAGATGTGTTAAGGTGCTGTTGCAAATTAAAATAAGGTGATGAGGTTAGGTTTCATTGGAAAAGAACATTTGAGTCAAAACTTTAAGGAATTCAAGGAATTAGCCATATAGAGTAATCCAGTCAGAGAGAACAAGCAAACTAAACACTCTAAGAGGAGTATGCCTGACTTGTTTGAAGAAAAGCCAAGGAGTGGAGTAAACAGAGCTGAGGGTTCAGTTAATAATGGTTCTTCTATGGTTTGGATTTTTTTTCTCAGTGAAAGAGGAGGTATTGGGGGTTCTTGAGCACAGGAGTTACAGGATTCACACTGACTGGTAGGACAGTTTGTGGAAGGGAAAGAATATCATCAGGGAGATGAGTGGAAATTTATAGCCTAACTCAGAGAAGAGGCTCTGGGACTCTTAGATCAGTGGGGACATATGTGGTGACAAGAGGTCAGATTCTGGGCATAATCTAAAAGTAAAGTTGACCAGATCCTGAAAATGTGTTGCTAGTGCGGATCTATGGATAAAAATGTGTTTTGTATAGATAGCCAATCCTATTAGAAAATATGTTTAGTATTGAAAATAATGACATGATTAATCTCAAACATAATTAATCTTCTTTGAATTAGCAATTCCCCAGATCCTGTTTCTCTATGGATAAAATCTGCACAGCTCAAGACTAACCCCTAAAATGGTAATCACTCAACCCTCTAAAGAAGCCTGGCCTAAAACAGTCAAGTAATTTGACCATTTTTTTTCTTTTACTGTAATAAAAAAAAATACCTCTACCACACTTAGGCAAGAGTAGTTAGAGGAAAGTGCAGAAAGCATTTATATCTATTGACTATGACAGATACCTTTTATGTAGTTGAAATCTTTGATGTTCAAATTATCATTTTTCTGCTTTTATGTCATCATAATAAGAGATAAAATAATTTCACTGATATTTGAAGAATATATTACGGGAGAATAATTGTTTCAGCTTGCCAACAGATTAAATAACTAAAGAAATTAGAGGAAACTGACCAAAGTGGAACAGGTTGAATGTCAGGTGAGTGTTTTAAATAGTTGGGTCAGGAACGGAATCTCAGGAGAAAGTCATGAAGCAGGAGTTATTTAAAATGAGACAAATCAGAGCAGTTCAGAGCCCACCAGAGGCAGCAGTGTAATGAGAGCAGGTGACAGGGCCTAATCGGTCCTCCCCAGCTCTCCTACTGGTGATTTCATAATCTATCAGACATTACCCACAAGGGGCATTTTTCTCCGAACCTGCGTCTTTATGTGTCAGAAATCCTGCTCTGAAATGAAGAGAATTAAATCTCTCCTGCTGTTTCTCTTATCTGGCAGGGCTTTTTGTTCTTAGCCTTCCCTTTAAATGACAGGAAACTCTAAATGAAACAGATAAACTTTGAATTAGCTTTGCTTTGGCAAATGACATCTAAAGCCCTTAACGTTTTTACTCCTTCTGAAGAACTCTCTCCTGCTGGAGCACCTGTATCTTCAATCTCTGCACTATTAATGCTCAGAGTTTCTCTGAACCTCTTAGAAGCAAAGGGAATTGGTGGAGATAGTAACGGAGATGGAGGGCAGCATCTTGGGGGTGCTCAGAAGTGACCCGTTTGTCCAGAACATTCAGGAAAAATTAGTTTAGTAACATGTGAAAACTTTGGAAATGCAGCCATCACAAAGGATTAGCTAGCCCCCCAAAAAGCATTTCTTTGTTGGCCTTCCTCAATGAAATCATAATTGTTTCTAACTCTTGGAGGTTAGCATAGTGTAGTGGTAATGATCATTAAAATAGAGACTGAAGTCTTGGCTCTGTTTAAAGCTCAGCTCTTCCATTTAGACTAGGTTTCAATGCTCTCTCTCTGCCTCAGTTTCCTCATCTGGAAAGTGGATCAATGATAATAGGACCTGACTTTAGAGAGGTATGTTGTGAGCATTAAATTGATTACCTTGTTTAAGAAAAATGTAGCAAAATGCCTAGCACATGAAAAGTGCTATATAAATGTTAGGTATTATAACTATTTGCATGCCACAAAAGTAATCAACAAACACAAACTGGCTGTGGTATTGTTCTAAGTAATAGGCTAGGGAGGCAAATAGTTGAATTGCTCAATTTTCAAAAGTATATTGCCTTTTAGATGTCTGCATTTTATTTCACATAGAAACTTTCTCTAAAATAAGTTTAACTTTAGTGTTTTAATGTACTGTAGTCTTTATTTCCTTATCTTTTTTGTTATGTTGAATTTTAGAAAACAGTACTACTTTCTAGTATTGATAGACTCTAACTGAATTTGCACCATTTTTCAATATAAAGCTTTAAATATTTATCTACTGTGTTCAGTTAATTTTACATATGTAATCAGAGCTCATTGAATGATTTAAATTAGCCTACTTTCATCTTTAAAGTGATCTCCAAGTTTCTAGAAAGTTACTGTCTCTACAGTTACTGCTGTCTTTACATCAATATCAGCACATACCCAGCACTTGGTCTCTTTAAATGTGGTCTTGGGTGTGGGGAGATTAGGCTTGGCTCATGGGAAAAATAACAGAAAAAGGGATAAAAGGAAGTTGCGAGAAAAACCTAATGGCTCAAGAAAGAGGTTCACTATGTGATTAAGCTATCAAAGTATATTCAAATTTCTGGATTTTAGGCTGACTTTGAGGTTAATTTCAAGAGCTCTCAAAGACATTTTAGAAAGTTGAAGGATTTTAAGAGAAATTATCCTTTGACCATATAACTTCTTATTCTCAGTACTTATTCATGACATTCGGTCATATTTTAATTATTTCCTCCCCAACTATGCTCTAATCAAATAAATGTAAGGTTAACTTAAGAGGGGTTTGGAGTTGGGCATTTAGGGGATGGATTCTGGATTACCTCCTCTGTATCTATGTTACTTTTTTATTAATAATTGAGCACTAACTCTATAGATAAAATAAATACTCGTGAAATATCATAGATATTTCATACTTACACAAAGTATAAGTAATGTGTTCATAATATAAAATGTTGAACATGCCTTCATATCTTAGATTTTATAATCAAAATCCAATGTGCATATATCATATTTATTATTTGACCATGATTTCACCTGATAAATGATAAAATGCCCATTTACTCTTAATAATTCTTGCCTCACTGATCTAAATATGTATTGATATGTCCATCAGCAGTTCTACTAGTATTTTTCTTCATATCTTATCCTTACTCTATATGTTTTAAGTGAATGTCTTAATTTTATATGCAGCATTGCCTATAAAAATTTATGTTGGAAAGCATGAGAGAAGATGTTTGATATCAAATCAACACTAAATTTCAGCTTTTCATAAAAGCTACATTCCAATCAAATTAGACTTATCCAATATTTCATTTGCTTTATGTCATATTTTGTTACATGATTCCTGCTTTCTATCATAATATATGAGCTGCAAACTAAGAATAAGAAAACTTGAATTTCCCTAAGAAAATGTACAAGATGTTCTCACCCCAACAATTCTTCCCATACTTCAAATGACTGAAATCATTGGTTGAAATAATGAATTCCAGACCAGAAAGCACTTTATGCCATGGCTTGAGCTATTATAGAAAGCTTTTATGTGGATTGCATGTTTCCTGCTCCTCTGTGATCTGATTGTTATCATTCAAAGGAAAATGGAAGATGAAACTATTCTAAAGTCAGGTAACTTCTTATTTAGAGAAATGCAGTGTAGTCAATGGAACAAAAATCTGGCAGTTGTTGAAACTTTTAACCTTGCCTTCAAACTTGTATTTACATATTCACATATTTGATGAGTTAGTCCACCAGCATATCTGAAGTACTCTCATGCACTGATTGCCTCTAAAGAAGTAAAATTAAAATATTTAGAAAATGGGTAAACATGGAGAACAAACTGGGGATTGCCATAGGGGAGAGGGTTGTGTGGATAGAAGTAATAGGTGAAGGGAATAAAAAGGTACAAACTTGCAATAATAAAATATATATCACAGAGATGAAAAGTACAGCATATGGAATATAGTCAATAATATTGCAATATCTCTGTATGGTAATAGATGGTAACTACACTTATCATTGTGAGCATTTCATAATGTATATAATTGTCAAATCACGATGCTGTACGACTGAAAACAATATTGTATATCAACTATACATCAATTTTTTAAAAACTAAATGAGCAACCAATATTGTAGATCAGCTACACTTCAACTTATAGAAAGCATCTGATAATTGAGAATGGATATGATAATATGATGAAACAGTCACGTGGACTCAAAGAAAGTCAGAGTTTGATATAACCTTGATGGTGCCTTGTTCAAGGCTCTTGTTTCATGAACAGGGAGGTCCAGAGTTGAGAAGTGATCTTCTTAAACAATCATTTGTTATGGCAGAACAGGACTTCTGAGTTCAAGACTACTGTCCTTTCCACTCTACCTAAACATATTTCTTTATATTTTCATCTTAAAGTTGTTCTTTTCTGTTTATGAATGACATATCTCACACAATGAAAATGCTAATATTTAAGGGAAGTTAAAACTTCCTTTCCTGTTTTTGCAGGATTTTACATTTCCACCCCAACTGGACCAGGAGGAAGACAAGAAAGAGTAGGACTTTCAAGTCTCTCCTTAGACCCCATGTTGGAACCGGTCTGCCTCAGTTTCTGGTATATTGTAGACACATGTTAAATACTGTCTTATTTAATGAGTAATACTGCCTTTCTCACATTGCCAGGCTTGGATTTCACTAAGATGGTGGCCCCAAGTTTTAATGCATTTGCCATTACTTATCCAATTGATAAACAGCAAAACAGAAGACTCCTTTCCCTTCCCTAGCAAATTCCTCACTCAGGGGAAAGGGAAGTATTTCAGAGATAGTAAATGATTTAAAAGAAACCTTACTTGCATTTATTCTGATATTTTAGGAATCCAATAATTTTTGTTTCCAAACTAGGTATTTTATGTATGGTGAAAATGTCTATAAATTAAGCATTAATATCAGCAGTGATCAAAACATGGAGAAGACAGTTTTCCAAAAGGAAGGCAATTATGGAGAAAACTGGAATTATGGACAAGTAACATTAAATGAAACAGTGGGATTTAAGGTTGGCAAATACTTTGTGATTTGTAATCATGTTTGTATTTCAAAAATGGTGCTGCAATTATAGTTTAAGGTGATACAATGAAAAAATTTATTTTCTGAATATCCAAGTCACTTTCTCTACTTTCCTAGTCTAACCTCTTTTTTCTAAATCTTTAACTGCCTTTATTTTCATTTATTCATTGACTTATTTAAAACCACTTATTGAGGATAAGTTTACTAGATAAAAGTACTACTTCTAATGACCCATAACATCTATACAAGCCTTGTAGGATATTTCAGCTTTCCTTAGCCACTTTCCAGCCCAAGCCAACTATGTCTTCCTCTGTCCCCTGCCTATGTAGGACAGCACATAGGTCAGCCCTGCACTTTTCTAGGAAATCATCCTTTCCTATTAGAGCATCCATACTCATCAGTTTCCATCTACCCTGCCCCACTGTGACTTAATCTCTATATATTTCCTTTAGAAACAAATTACATGAGCTGTATCATTACCAAGTCTCTCTGATCATTTATTTCACATTAAGATGAATCAATTTTTCAGATAACAATGTGTTCTCTTCCCAAGGGTGCTTACAACTAAAATATAGGATAATATAAGCTAATAGTTTGACCACATTCACAATGTTTTAATTGGGTAATTTCAGAAAAGAAAGGATAACTTTCAGAAGATGTATATTTGGACAGACATCATCATCAGTGAAGGCTTCAGTTCTCGCCCATGACTTTGCTTTAGGCAGGCGGTAATCAACGACCCTTATCGAATTCCTCTCATCTTTCTTCTTCCCTTTCCTTTTTCCTTCTTTTTTTTCCTTCTGATTCTATCCTTTCCTGTGAATTTTTTCCTCCAACTTTGCTGTTTTCTGATAATTCAGGAAAGAGTAAAGGAAAACGGAACCTCAAAGCAAAAAGATGGCAGAGGCAGGGAGATAAATACAGTCATCCCCTATTATCTGTGGGGAAGACGTGCCAAGAACCCCAGTGATGCCTGAAGCTTCTATATACTGAACCTTATCTATCATCTCTCTATCCACTTATGCCTCAGTTTCTGGTATATTGCCTTATATATGCCTCACTTATCTATGCCTGTATACAGATATATCTTTGGTGAAGTCAATTTATAAATTAGGCACAATAAGAGATTAACAATAATAACTAGTAATCAAATGGAGCAATTATAACAATATACTGTAATAAAAGTTATATGAATGCTGCCTCTCTCAAAATATATTATTGCTCTGTACTCACCTTTCTTCTGATGAGATGAGATGATAAAATACTTATGGGATGAGATGAAGTGAGGTGAAGGAGGTAGGCGTTGTGGCGTTGCATTAGGCTGCTACTGACCTTCTGACACTATGTCAGCAGGATCATCTGCTTCTGGCCTGTGGCTATTCTCCAGTAACTTAAAGTAGGGAAAGTGAAACCACAGATAAGGGGGCACTACTATATTTCAGTGGCCAATTCTGACTCAACTCACTGAGCATTTTTTTTGAAGTAATATAACTGGATCCATTTTTTCAAAGTCAGCTCACCAGGCAGAGTGCGGGCACCAAGTCCTCCAAGGATCTGCACCTTGGCTTTGCCGCTCTGTTGTGAAAATCTTAACAAGTCACTTCACTCTCTTTGAAATTTAGCTTTTGTATATTTGAAAGAGAGAGAATAATCCCTATTTGGAAATATCTAGCATGAAGTAGGTAGAATGAATGAACAAAAGGGCAAATGTGTGACTACAATAGGGTTGAAAAAAATTAAATAAAATAAGTATACAAGTGCCTAGGCTAGCAATTAGCATAAAACAGGTCTTTAGTTTATGCCTTTCCTCTCCTACATGGGACAGGATCAATGGAAATTCAGCTCAATATACCCACTGTCCTTAGGAACCTGATTGTTTCAGCTGACCACCAGACCTTCTGCCTAAATCTGGGTGTGTGTGCTCTGGGAGCCACCCTCCCACAGTGTCCCGCGCCAGCTCCCAGGGTGGATGGTGACCAGCACCGGCTGGCCCTGGATGATCACCTTATACTCACATTTGCTCTTGTGCCCCTCTTCTCTCATTTAATTTATCCAGTCAGTGTGCCACCTCCTCAGGGCTTGTATTTTCTACGAGGATGGACAACTAACTGGATTTCTAATATTGCTGGGGGTAGAATCTGTGAGAATGTTACTGTCCCCTGCCAAACGATCCATAAGCATAGCAGAGTACAATGGAATATGACAATGTCATGAGAGGGAGACAAACAGACACAGAGACAGAAACTGTGCCAATATTGCCCAACTCAGAAGGAAGACGAGTGAAAATGTAGCTTAATGTGAACACATAATTAGGGAGTTGGGCTCAGCAGAAGGACCTTAAAAACATGATCCATCCATATTTTGCTATGCAGGAAATTGTCCTCATATATTTGCAGATGGCAGTATTGGTTCTCAGAGGACACTGGGCCCCAAGAAGAATTAAGTCAGAGAAGATTGGACTGGAATTGTTTCATATGCCTCTCTGATTTGCAGATTACTTTCAATGCTTTTAAAAACCAGTTTCTGAGTGATATCGCTTTAGATGACATTAGTCTGTCACATGGGATTTGCAATGTGAGTCTTTATCCAGAGCCCACTTTGGTGCCAACTCCTCCACCAGAACTCCCTAGTAAGTAACTTTAATGTGTATTTTCCCTAATTCAGTCGACATTTTCGGGTAGATCCTCTTCTGGTCTTTTAAAATTTCTAATATATTCTCACTGAAAATCAAAGTCTTTAAAAATGGAAGCTAGCAAAGTATTGCATGCTGTGCATATACCCAAAATGCAACCACTCAGTACTTTATGCATCATATTTATGATGATTTTTGTATATTTTCACTTTTTAAAGTAATGAAGGTGCTGATTTCCATTTTCTTTTCACTAGAATAAAAACTAAAGCTCTGTCAGCCATGTGGCATAGCCTATATAGTCTTTTGAGAAGAAGGCTTAAGATTTTCATAGCTTTCTTAAAAAGTGAAGTTAGGATCTCAGGAGGAGTTTGGTTAAACCTAAAACCCACCAAACGTATTTCCAGAATAATTTAATAGTAATGATTGGGCCTCGAATTTGAATATGCAGACCTGGATTACACAAAAGTTTTTGTCTTGAAATGATGTCTTTGTAAGGCCTGGGAGCCACGAATGTGTGACAGCTGAGCCGTGGCAGCCAGGGGTTCCTTTCATACAAAAGAACAAAACGGAGGCTGTCTCCCTACGCACTTAACACGAATTGGAAATATGACGTTTAAGAGGCAGTTGGGACATTACCGTCCATCTATCATATCAAAGGAGACGATCATTTTATACCACTTTCAGACTGTGGAATTTGACTGAAAAAAAAATACTTATAATGATAAATTATATCAAGCATTTATTGTCCTCCTGTTAGGATATTTTCACTGCATTGTATTTTTGATATGAAAACATCTCTTCTGTCTTCGGTAATGGTGGTTGGAAGATGACCAGCCTATGGCTTTGCTTGTGTCTGACCTCACGCATGTTTGTACCCCGTCAGGCGTGTCAGCCCACACACGCAGCACTTTTTGCCTTTCCCTTTCCTCCCACGCTGATACTCTTCTCATACTCTCATCAGCAAATCAAGTTGGAGAACCTTTCCAAATACGGTTATACTTCCCAAACTATGTATTTCCAGCTTTGTTTCAAGCTTAAGTTTTAAAAAAGCTGACTTTTCAGATGAGTGGATTTAACAATTAAGAGCTCTAAAGATAAATGACTGGTGTTTGTGAACATATAACAAGTAAGCTGCCATTAAATGAGGATAGTAACTGCATTGTTATACTGGTCCCATGCCACCAAACTGAATGTGCACTTACATCCCACCAGAAGGCTAGTTTATGCTTCTGTATTAACCTGTTCAGATGCTTGAATGAGCTATTCATAAATGCCTCAATATTTCAAACATTCAGATTTTATAAACACCTACTTTGTACAAAGAACTGTATAAGAAATATAAGATGTAGCAATAGCCACTGACACACGGAAAAAACAAAAAAATGTAATCCATACAAATAAGTATTTAAAACAATATGTAATTATGTATCCATAAAAGGAATAAATGAGAGAAGTAAGCAATACAGGGAGAATACTATGTGAACCGGACAAGGCTTTAAGGAAACACTAAGATTAAGAAACAGAATGACACTCATGTAATTGAAACAAAAGCAGGAGAGTACCATGCATTCTTACATAATAATAATATTGGCCACAAAACTGTGGTAAGAAGAGAATTCTTGACTCCAGACACGGGCTCTAATTCACCTTTGTTTTACCAGGGTCTCACTGGTTCTTAACATGATATAAATAGATACTCAATAAATAATATTAGATATGAACTAAGCCTCCCTTTCTCTCTCTCTCTCTCTTTTGATTCTTATTTTGATTCTTATTCTCTCTTTTTTATTTTTATTTCAGCAACACAAACATTTTTTGGCAAACAAAATTTTGGTACCAGAACTAAAGCCTCAAAATGATAATGGGGATAGAGGCAGAGGAAATACCAACATGAATGCAATAATTTGGGCTTTGTAGCATTGCTTAAAAATAATTATCTCACTTTATTTTGTGTAGGTGCCTGACATACCTACCTTCATTATATGAAACATTCTCATGAAGAAAAAGCATAGTTATTGAAATCACTGCTTTTTTGATTAATAATTCCAATGGATATCAAATATTAGAAACATCCTGCTATTTTGATATTGCTATAGAAAAAGAAAGTTTTTCTTCACAATCCTTTCTACCTTTCTGTTCTTTTATTCATCAACGAGTGCTCAAGGAAAAATTTGCTAAGTGGAAGTAACAGTTTCATCAGCTCAATATTTTAAAAGCAAAATCTCATCATCTAAAATAGAGAAGATGAGATAACATCTGGTACATAATACCATACATGTAAATAAAACTTCCACATGATTTTCCATATTAAAACTTTTTTTATCTAACCCATACAGCCCTCATATCCATTCCAGTTAGAAAGAGAAAAAGAAAAGACCTCAGTGTCAAGGTCACAATATACTCTCATATTTTAACAATAGGGAAATTATAACACTAGAATAACCTGACTTTAAAATATACACTTTAGAATTTGCCCAGAGTATGTTTGTTCCAGTTTCCAAATGGTTCACTTCAGGGCAATATTTAGCACAGCAGAAAATGTTAATTACCATCAAATGCATTCTGAACAATTTCATTCTAATGCCATTTGCAACTGGTTCAGTGAAATTCTTATTTGAGCAGAGCTTTTCTGATTCCAGATCACTGATTTGTTTAAACAGAAATAAAAGGAAACCATGGCTGACTGGCTAATAGCCTTTCTCCAGCTCTAGATAGAGCATTAAAATAAGGAAATAATCTCAGACAAGCAAGTGACTAGCAAAGCTCAGTTCCTGCCTTGTTCCTAGAGGTCCACGTTGAGCCTAGTTTGGAAAACGTAAGCTCGGTTTTCCTAACTGCAGAGACTTTTCCATTTTGTAACTTCAATCTCTTGCTGCATTAGCTCTACAATTATTTCCCTGTGATATGGGCACAAATCATGTCAAGCTAGGGGTTGTATTGAGAACATTTCATACAAATAAGCATTCCATTGTGATATGGGCACAAGTCATGTCAAGCTAGGGGTTGTATTGAGAACATTTCATACAAATAAGCATTCCATTACATTAATACACCAATTTGTAGCACAATTTGGATGATTTAGGACAAGATACCTGCTAAAAAAGAATAGGTGTACACAAAAAGGAATCCACTTTTCAGGCCCCTAACTTATTTCTGAGGTGTTGAAACTAATTAAGAAATAAAAAGACAAGTTACAGTTTTAGCTATTTTAATAGTCTGTTTCCACGGTTTTGCTCTGGTTGGTCATTATTTAGACTACGTTCCACTTACAAAGATAAAATTGAAGTTAACTTGGAAAGTTTCATAGTCATGACATTATACTTTGAGCTGAACAGTCTAACTGTAGTACTTCACATAGGAATGACTCAGCACCCAGTACCTCTCCTGTGGTTGAAAACTGTTTCAGCACAGAGAGCTGCTTGCCTTTTATATCATTAGTATGACTTGATATTCAATCAAACCCCTAGCAAATGCATATGAACTACACTCATCTGCTCCTGAAACAATGTGTTTTTGGCTCTTCTATTTTGTTTTCATCTTTTCACCTTTACAACTAATAGCCTATTAGTTGGCTGCATTGCTATTAATCACAAATCAATGTAGGCCACAAGGAATAAAAATGTGAACTTCATTGTCATCAGTTTAATAAAAATAGTAACATAATGGCTGGTCACTGTAAACTGTTAATGGAAAAATGCATTTTTAAAAACTGAACACAAAATTTTCATGAGAGATTTCATTTTATACTACAACCTAAGCTTTTAAAATGTTATCTGTAATACCATAGGACTTGTTATCCATTATTATGATAGTCAAAAATGATTACAGATTTTAACAATATTCAAAGATCGATGTGAAATACTCTTTCTCAAGCTACATCTGTTATTTCCCTTACATAAAAATACCAATCAAAAACCTATTTTTATCATATCCTTATTTTTTGTTTGCCAAAAATATCTTTAATTTGAGCCCTCTTATTGTAAATGAAAGCTGGCTTTTTTCCTTTGCACCCCACAGTGCATGTTCCACATGGACACATATCTCATGGACGTCAGAAGTTTAAGCATGGTTTAAAAATGACATGCTTCAAGGAAAATATCTGTCCCTGACAATCGCTTTGCAAAATACTGCATGTTATTTACATAGTATATCTAGTGAAAACCCCTATTGGCATAGTAAGAAATTAATCAGGATACAAATCTTTAGAGAACAGCTCCAAGAAAAAAGAGAAATGAAAGAGTTTAACAACTGTAAATGAATTGAGTTCCCATACCAGACAGACTATTTAAGTCTCATTTTCTGGTTGGAGATGGTCTGTCTAATGACAGCATGACTGTGATATCCAGAATTACATTTTATGAGTTTTTGGTTCCTCTATTAAGGAGCACATGCTACATCTCCACTACAGCAACACCACCATTAAAATAAATTGTGTCATCATACTTAGAATGGCTGAACATGCTTTTGCAAATTCCTTATAGTCATTTATACACAGAGAGTAACTGAAATAGCTTATCAAGCCAAGAATCAGAGATATCTGACTGGCCAGTTATTTGATACGAAATTACATTTGAAATGTATTTCAAAAAAGCAGTTCTTAAGTATTTTAAAGGAATGAACTTCCCAAGACTTCTGTTTACTGGAGAAATGCTAAGTGACCTGTCTTCCTTGACAGGCTTACCAATTACACTTGACAATATTTTAGTTCTGGTTGTGTGTTTATTAAAGTCTTACCTGCTTATAGTATAGTGTACTGTTGTGCTCAGTTATGTGAAAATTCAATACATTCTCTAAAATGTCTACTTACTTTATTCAGAGCATACAATTTTGAAAATGTCTTACTCCTTGAAGAGAAAATGAGAATAATGATTAAAAATCAACAGCAACAACAAAAATAAACCCACTGGCCACCCAGGCCATGCTGACCCTATGAAGTGGGGAGCACATAATCGGGAGTATTAGCCTCAGAGGAGCAGCCACTGTGAGAGCCTACAATTCCCTCAGACCTTCCCTCACCTTTTCCAGTGAAGAACCTGCCCTTACTCCCAATACACTCTTTCTTTGGTTCAAGTATCTTCTTCAGTACCCTGTGCAGAGTGCTTTTCCTTCTAGATAAATCCTTACTCATTAGTACTTTTGTCCATGCTTCCTGATGCACTCCTTCTCTTTAATCACACCCAAATATATGACACATACCATAAGGTGTCACTTATATTGAGACTCAGTCTAAACCCTGCCAACGACAGACCAGATGGTGGAAATGATTCAGTGTTTAATCAGCCCAATAGGACACTGTGATGTCCTGAGAGATGAGTTTGAAATGAACAGAGTTGAAGTCTTGGCTTTGACAGTAAGTGGATATGTACAGCATTTGCAAGTAACTCAATACTTCCAATGTTGAAATTTTCCATTTAAAATTGAATCAATAATAGTAACTACCTCATGAACAAGTATGCATTGAAAACCAAAACTATTTACCTGAGTATGTCAGGTCAGGTGGAGGCATTTTTCATAAATTACATCTGATTTTTTACAATAACCCCCCAAATCTCAAATATACAACTCTTTAATGTATGAGAGAACTAAGTTTCAAAAATACAAATAGCTAATTCAGAGCCACAATTTTAATCCATCAGTTCCAACATGTCTCCCTTTCACACATCATGTTCTCTCCCTCAGTGAGACAGTGCGCATGGAAATAATTGCAAATGATACAGGTTCATAAGAGGTTTTATTATTGTTGCTAAGCTCACCTGGGCCTGGACAAGCCTGGCCCAGGAGAGTGTATAATGCAGAGCAGGCCTCACATCTCACAAAACAGCATAGCTTGGCAATGACACTACTACAAAACTATAGTAACTGTTTCTCTTTGTTCCATTGTACACATCATGAAACCCAAATCTAAAAGGCATATTATATAAAATGTGCACAATGCACCTGAATTGAAAGAATCTATATAGATGAGGCAGCTAACATGCAACAAGGATCAAAGAAGAGGGTATGACTGAAGTCATTGCCATAAGTATAGAGACAATTATCCATCCTATAATCTAATATGATTTCTATTTTATTGGTAACATATAACTCTACTATCATCTACCTTTAATAAAAGGAGAAGTATATACCTATCCCAGTTTTCTGTATTCTTTGAATTAGGTTTTATTGTTTTGATCTTAAAGATGATATAAAAATAAAACAAAATTGAGACACAAAGTAGTTGATTAATTTGTACATTACTTTAAATTTTTTTCTAATAAGTAGGAAGAAGATAAACATACAGTAGTTTGAGTAGTTTGAGGAAGGAAGACTATAAAACATGCTAAGCAAAAATATTTCTTTGCCCAAATAATATTGGAAAATACCATGCCCTAGTATGCTCTCTTGGAAATTCACAAAGAGCATAAGAATATTTAAGGTTTTGAGAAGTCCTTCAGTAAAGAGACTCATTTACCTGTATTTTTCCCTTACTTAAGTGGCAAGGTTTTCCCTTATGCAAATTCTACAATTTGTCTGTCAAACCAGTATTCGAAGAAAAATAATTGGAAATTTGCTGGCACAATGTATATCTCTCCTAAATAAACATGAAGTTCCTAATAATTGCTTTATTTCTTTCCTTTTCAGCGGACTGTGGTGGACCTTTTGAACTGTGGGAGCCAAACTCGACATTCACTTCTATGAACTTTCCAAACAGCTACCCTAATCAGGCTTTCTGTGAGTCATTTCTTTTCCAGGCCATAAGGAACAAATGTATATATCAAGATTATACGTCCTTCTTGATATAGCAAAGTGTATTACAAATTTGCCAAAGCTAGGTACACCTACCACATCTATTGAGTTACTTAATATAATTATAACAAGAAAAACAATAGTAATCACTAACATTTTTTTCATGTTTATTATGCACAAATTGTGCTCATGATTCATGTGTATCATTCCAGTCAATTCTCAATAATTCCTTGAAGCAAATGCTATCATTGTAATTCTCAAATTAAACGTTGAATAAAACTAGCAGGTGAAAGAGCCAGTCTTACTCCAGGTTCTACTCTCTTCATCACTCTCCTTGATTATGTATAAAAGGTCTACAGTGTATATTACAAATCTGAAATTCCATAGAATAAAGTCAGTGGAAAGCATAAAAAGTAAAGACCCAATTGTGACACCCACACCTTTTGTGAATACAGACTGGTATCAGTAAAGCAGGCAGCAAGAGTAATGTGATTAGATTCTCAGAATAAAAGGTGAATATTAAGGAGGGTCACTAAAAAATCAAAGTCTAGAGAGAAGAATAGTTTACTAAAGCAACACAAAGCCTGTCTTTGGGTCAGTACTCCTAGTAGAGGAGCTCATTAAAGCTGTGTAAAGTTGTGTCAAATATGCCGAGTCCCCCACCCATCCTACCAATATTCCACTTCAGTAGGTCTGGGAAACAGACACCTTCCTCCCATGGCCACCCCTGGTTAGTGACTCCAATCTAAATGAAGAAATACCCCAATTACCATGAAAAAATGAGTTATTAGAGAATGTCAACTTTTCTTTCTTTCTTCCGTCAAATGACCCAGAGGTGAGTATTACTTCCATAGGAAAACTGAGTCACTATTATAGGGAGATAACTGATTCAAAAAAATAAATAGTCATGGATCTAATTAGACTCATAGGAGAACCAGAGATTATCATCTCTACTTCATATCAAAGGCATTTCTTAAACACATCATTTATACAAAGTAATGATCTAAAATATCCAAAAATCAACTGAACATTAAAAGAACAGTTTGGAAAAATTTATTAAATGTATTGACTTATGCACAAATATTTATTGAGCACTTTTTGTCAGACACTGAATTAAGTAAAGAAGAAACCACTGTAATGACATCTAGATGAGAATTTATATAAACTGTCAGGCATTACAAAATGCCCATTATTGTATAATAAGGGCCAAGGCATGATGCTTGGGAAGGACGTGGGAGATACTTACATATTAAAGTTTAGAGATAAGAGACCTTGACATTTTCTTGAATCTCCAAACAAAACTAAGGTTAACATATGAAACTGAGGGCATGAATGACTTTCACGCCATGTTAAACAGTTCGGATTTTATTTTGTAAGCATTAAGAAGACTGCAAAATGTTTATAGGAAAGTAGTGAGGAAATCAACCTTGCGTTTTAGATGGATCCATCCAGCTGTGGGATCAGAGACAGACAGCAGGAGAGGAGAGCCACCAGCAACACCAGCTAGGGGAGGAGAAACGACAGGGACTGGAACTCAGATAGTAGCAATAAACACTGAGAGGTATGGGATTCAAGGAAAATAAGAGGGACCATTGGCAGGTTTTGGTGACTGGATATGGATACACAGGAGAAAGGAGGTCAAAGAATCTGCAGAGGATTTTGGTGTAGAAAACCATGAGCAGAGAGATGAGTGGTACTATTCATGGAAATTACAGGAATGAGTTTGGGAAAGAGATAACTCTTTGTTCCCTTTATTAAATGTTGGGTTTGACATATGTACACCCATATAAGTAGGTTATAAATAATTGAATAAATGTACCTAGTTCTTTAAAAAAACTTGAAGAAAATAAAGACTTAGAAGTCATCATTATGTTGAAATGAAGTTCCTTAAGGGCGAATGAAAACTCAGAACGAGAAAGGATCTAGAACAGAATATAAAAACTAAGTCATTTAAGGAATCAATAAAGAACAAGTGTTTATTGGTACTAAGGCTGATAATTTTGTTTTGTTTTCAAAAACAAATACCAACATTTAATATGTATTTAAAAATGCCAAAATTTCTTAAATAAATATTAAAGCTTACTTTCCCTACAGGTTACATTTAAATTATCTCATTTTCCTTTAAATTCAACCATGGAAAATAAAACAAATGGAACTAAAATACCTTTTGATATAATAAATTTTAGATTATAGAAGTAGTAAAAGACCACTTGCAAGCTTTAAGTTTTCCATTTTATATATATATAAAATAAAACAAATTTGATTGCAATAAATTATTTCAAATTTAATTGAAATTTTACTGTAAATATTCTTGAATACACCAGATATTTACACACACATACAACTTGGAATATTCATTTTCATGAAATGGAAAAGTAATCTTTGAAAGTGATGTGAAATTCTCAAGAGTGCAAAGCCATTAAGATAAATCAAAAGAAGTATGTTCTACACTAAGTATTGTTATTTATTATTTTTAAGGTGTTTGGAACTTAAATGCACAGAAGGGAAAGAATATACAACTTCATTTTCAAGAATTTGACTTAGAAAATATTGCAGATGTAGTTGAAATCAGAGATGGTAGAGGTGATGATTCCTTGCTCTTAGGTAAGTCGGCAATTTAAATATTTAATTAGTATCAGGACATTCAACTGACAGGGAGAGCATTTCCCAGTAAATGTAATTGCTCTTTTACAACTAGCAAAATGAAAATTCAAGAGTAGAATAACGTGTCAAATTCCATGTGGAGCTTTCAATACGGGGGTGTTTGCAATGATGACAGGATAGTATTTTTTTTTAACATTCTTGGAAAACCAAAATTAATATTTTTTGAGTCAGCAGTTCCTACCAGCTGGTCTCATGTCACTACAATAAGCATTATACCTTGGAGACGAAGACCTAAGGACACCCATGATGCAGTTTTCTATGAACTGTGTTTTCTTCAGATGTCCAAAGACAGCTATTCAATCAGGTTTCATTCCACTTCAAATTAAACGAACAAATTGTTTGTTATGTAAGTTTTTAATAATTTTATTTCATGTTTACTACTCTAACTGTATCTCAGTGAAATCAGTTAAATATAAGAGCTAATATCGTTATTTAACTTCTATCTAGTTTTAGGAAAGAAGTATCTCTTGATAAATCATACATTACATTATGAAGATGTATACAGGGTCAACTGTAATGTATGAAACAACACACTTTAGTAAAAGTGTTTTATCTAAATGAGCTTTGGACTCATATTAAGTATCTCCTATAAAATCCAGCCACATAGCTATCTAATCAGTATGCGATCATGAATGCTGTACCATGATATGAAGACTCAAGAAAGTACTTTCTAGAGCAATGAAAGAGCAGAGTGGTAGAGAGGGTCCCCAACCAGACTAATCCACCTCCTTACATAAAGTTCTCCCACAAAACCCCACAAAGCTCTCCAGTGCAAGCCTCGTCGAGAGGACTATGAGGGCCACACCATAAACAATGACAGTCTCAGCTGGGGTAGGATGCTAGTGCGAGGAAGAACTGAAGAACTTTGAATGTGACTTTGTATAAATAGTTATCAACACACTTTGAGTAGTTGCCCCATTTTTCAGGTTACAGTGTTTCCAATAAAAACTTCAGTGTTTTCATAATCTAAGACAAGTCCATTTCATCATTTTACTTCTTAATATTTATATCAACCATTGCAAAGGGAGTAAAAATTCCCAAAGGATCTCAGAATCATAGCATTCAAATTTGTAAGCAAGAAGTTCTTTTGAAACAGAATCACTTTCAGGGGTTCCAATATGTAAAATATTTAATAATGTGGACATTTAAAAAATTAGCTTAAGTCTTAATATTTTAGTAAAGAATATTTCATTCTTTATGAAACCCCCCAAAGCCCAGAGCTTAGTGGGAAAAAAATTTTAAACCACAATTTAGGTTTATATTCTCTGTATCTAATTAACCCATCCTTCAGATTAGGTTAATTATTCATGTCACAAAATACATCAAATGAATTTGGACAAAAATTTACTAAGGGAGACTATAATCTCTGTTGTTTTATAAAGGTCTTTAAAAGCAGGCAAATAATAATTTTTCTGGGATAATATGAGCTTAGAATAGTCATAGTGCTAAGCCAGATAATGTGATAAGTAATTCATCATTACATTATGAAGCTACAGAAACCTCAAGGAATTTGGAAAAAATCAATAGAGAAGTTGGCTTTCTTAGAAACAGTGTCCATAATGTAAAAGGTACACAATTATTCACATGCAGTGGCTTCAGGAGCAAGTCAGGCTGCCAGCTGCATACTTCTAGAAGATGGAACAAGGAAAGGGTATATTTCCTTCTAGATTCAAATGATCAACTCAATGTTATTCCGTTTCACTTTGGAGCAGCTGTGTACACGGGGCCTGGTCCAGTAAAGGACGTGTTTTCAACCACCAATACAATGACAGTGCTTTTCATTACTAACAATCTGTTGGCAAAAGGGGGATTTAAAGCAAACTTCACTACTGGCTATCATTTGGGCATTCCAGGTAAGTGCACTCGGGATTACATGGTGCATTGTAACTTTTGGAGCAAAATGATAAAAGCATATAGCATCTCCAGAATTGAATATGATGTGGAGATTTACATTCTAGTACATTCATTCGTCCTCATCTTACTGAAGATTTTCTTCCTTCCTTTACCTTTCTGTAATCACTGGCTGAGTAGGTTCAAAACAGGAATCCCCACTATTTTCAGCGGATGTACTTGCCCTTCTCTCTTTTTATAAAGAGTTGTGAATTTTGTTCATGAAAGGGGACCCTTTTAAATGTCAGATATTGGGTATTTGACGCTGTGAGACAAGAGGACTGTGTGTCGTGCTCCGGTTGCCAAGAGTATTTTCAGAGAACAGCAGGGAGACAGGCAAGTGAGCTGTTTGGATGCCAACAACATCCAATTAAAAAATTAATGTGATTAACTTGTTAGCAACAGCCAGTAAGCCACTGCCACGAAGGATGAAGGAATTTGATACTCATATTTGCTGGCATGCACAAGCTTCTTACCCTACATTTTTTATTATATCCATAACATTATCAGCAGGAAAAAACAGAATTGTTGCCTGCCTGCTCATCACGGATGTATCTGTATATATCTTTGTATTAATTTATAGAGGATGTAACTCTTTGCACTCAGCAATCTACAGAAAATGTTTCACAGCTTGCTTCTCCCCTTGGACTAGGATTTTTCTTACACTAATGCCCACAACTCCTTGGTTCTCTCTAAGTGCAAATATGTCAGGACAACAGAATACATGTTACTTTCACCATCTATCATTCCCTTATAGGACATTGTGGTCCATTTGTCTTAAGCTAAAATGTCTAAGGAAGTTGGTAGGGTTGGATCGTAGATCCTCATCTGTCCTGTCACCAAATCCCAAATACAGCTGAGCAAATATCTCTTCCTCCATTCACAGCTGGCCTAGACCTTTGACTCCATCACAGAAAGTTGAATGATTTCAGCTTTATTGAGAATATGGAAGGTGGCCTGTATCTTGTCTACACTCTGGCTGGGAAAATAAGTCACAATAATTATTATCCAAGCTATTTAGGTAGCTTAAGTAGGAGTGAGTGTTTGCCCAATCAACTAACCTGCCCATCTGGATTTTATGACTGGTTTTAGAAGCAGCTACAAGCAACGTTGATGTATCAATAAAAATAATCAATTAGCAAAGTACAAGCAACAAAAGTATTAAGACTATGATAAACATGTAGCATAAAAGAAAAAAATAAAGACTTGGAGATCTACAGAAAATAAGAATTTATTTTAAAATATAATACATTAAAAGAAAGAAAATATAGAAAAGGGCATGCTTTATATTCTTATAAAATTATAAACTAAAATAATTAATTTTATTTATAGTTATTTTTCAAAGTAGTAAAAACATATATCAACATGAAACTATCACTAGATGTTAGATATTTATGTAAATATATGTAAAATCAGAAACTAACTGCTTGAGAAAATATTAATTAAGACAATTTTGAGGCTATCATTTTGAATTGAGTCACTAATTCTGTCCCTTGATAATTTTGGTACTGCTGATTTTAATATGATAACTATGTTTGTCTGCCAATCTTGTATCTACTATTTCAGTTTCTTTCTCTTTGTGGTATACCTATAATTTTAATTTTAATTTAATATGTTAATCATTTGATTTTATGATAATTTTAAAGTATAGTTGGGTAATGGATATTGACGAGAAAATTTTGGTAGTTAATGTTTGGTAGTTAAATGTACTTTTAAGATAAAACAGACTTTGGATGAGTAAATGATAAAATAAAGTAAATGATATAATAAAGAACTTTGGGTAATAGTAGAAAACACAAAAGGGTTCCCACCATTATTTTTATACCTAAAATTATGACTCTCAACTTTTTCTAAAAAATTAATATTTAATTTTTAGCTCCTGATAATTTGCTGAACACTTGCCTCCCAAAATAATTGCAATTCATTTATCACTCAAGAAATTTGGAAAACCATGGACATTTTAGGGCAGAGTAACTTCCTATTTAAGCTCTACCACAACCAGATTATTTTTTCTGGTTTGACTAGAAGTCTCTGTTAATGATGTGATTTGCACAGATTTTTGGTCAATTGCACACCTATTCAAAAACTCTGGCACCAAAATTTCCACATAAACTGCTGCACAAAAGCATGATCAAGAATGAATGTTCAACAATAGATAGAGATGGAAAAACATGAGAGTCTGTAATGGGCATGCAGGATAAAACACCAAGCCATAATTTGAAAATAATAGGTATTCTCAAAGGAAGAGAACCAATCAAAACTAACAGTGAAGGTTATAACTAGGGATAAAGATATATACTTTCTGGATCTGATTAGTGACCTAAAAATCACGAAGTCTTACTGTTTTCTGTAAAAAAATTAATAGCCAGAATCAGTGTTGTAAAATTTCCTGCTTAAATTTTTAAATTTCAAGAGGAAAACTTTTCAGCAAATTCCTAAACAGAATAAATATAAACATTTTTCAAAGGCATTAAAAATCTGGTAAGCTTTATATTTTACCCATTTCATAATGAATACTGACAAACAGTGGACTGATATTTCTAAGTTTTTGAGTAGAAACTGCTGCAATTAAAAAACATATAGGCACCAATATCATCTGCATTTGAATTTGTTAGAATTATGCGCTCAGTTCTTCACAGTACTTCAAAATAAGCAAGCAAATACCTGATGCCAAGTCTTCTGGAGAAGAGGGCCTCACAACTCTTTTTTCAAGAATGATGTCATGGAATGAACTTTTGAAAGAAGTATACTTTGAAAGAAATGGAGATAAATATTAAAACCAACTGAACTAAGGAGATTTTTTTTATAAACGAATACTCTAATCAATAAGGGAGTAAATTTATTCATAAATTCAAACAGTTGAAATAATTATTGGGCATTCCACCATGTGCAAGAGAGAAAGCATTTGGACCAAAACTTTAGGGAAATAGTATGTCCTCAAGCCTATATTTTAAATTATAAATGAGAAAGGAGTGGGAAGGGAAGAACAAGTTATATAAAGGAAGACAGCAACAAATCTCTTCCATCAAAAATATTTTAATTACTGGTTTTTGCTAGATCTTGTAATGAGATAAATGCAACATCAAGGATTTTGAAAAATGTCATAAGCAATTTCTACTGTAGATAAAAGCCAGAAGAGTATCATCTATTGCTTCCAGTACAAAATAGGTAACAGATTTTTGGTGTAGGGTTTGTTTGTATTTGTTTGCCCTTTTACTAGATTTCAGTTGCTATGACTATGGTATTTAGGAAATAAGTCATGTACAGAAAACTGCCTTGATTGAAGCTAGAATGGAGTTGTCCAGGGCCATGACTCTGTGGTGAATATACCAGGAATGTGGCTTCACATTCCTCCTGGACACAGGACAGATGCTGCTGGGGAGGACAAAATGGAGTGGCAGAGTCGTCAGCAGCACAGTCCTCTCCCAGGGAGATTTTTACTCCAAAAGACTGAAAAGCAATTACAGAAACAGGGAATTGGCAGTGGAAGATAATCAAGCTGGTAATGAAAAGAGAGATTGAGCACACATATGTGTTTAAATTGGTGCTCTGGTGATCATTTTAGAAAAAAGTCCAAAAGGGATAACACAAATTTTCAGCATTTATGGGCTTCATTTATCTTCTGAGATATTTTAGGGACACCTTCCAAAGCATTCGATTGAAATATAAAATAATTGTGCAACATGTTTTGACATATCCTTCCTTTATCCTATTTTTAACATTTACATTTACATTAAACCAGAGCATATGAAATATGGATTTATTAAGATCAATCTTCTATAAATGTCCCTTGCTGCTCTTTTCTGATACTCAGAGTCTTAATTTGGAATTCAATAGCGTTTATCAGGCAACTGTGGAAGTGGCAGCTGATTACATTTAGAGGTTTAGTGCCCTCCCTAGATTGTGTGGCATGTGCCTTAAAGATCTATTCAGTTCCATTTAAAGTCAAGCATATGTTGACTAAATGAGGCAGGGATACTGAAGACTTCATAAAAAGATGGGGAAATTCAATTCTTAGAAATAATTCTTTTCCTTCTCTCACTATGGGCATAAAATGATCAGAAATAAGACTTCAGAGGCCACAGAGAGTTAACCTCTTGGATTAAAGACTTCTTAATGAAACCTAACTGTGATATGTTACAGAGAATCAGAATCCAGTGCATATATGTAAGGACATTTTTGAAAGAGTTTATTTACACCTCTCCTCAGAATTTATCTTTTCTATTCAGTCCATCAACAATAGATCATTTTGCCCCATTCAGCAATTTTCCATTCAATGTATTCACCTTACAGAAGAAAGTTAATTTTTCTAGATTCATAGGGTATAAACTTAATAGCTTTGGCTAGAGCACAAAAATGAATTATAATTTTCAAATCTTTATACATGCATATTTTCATTGAGATATTTAAATTTCCATTCAACATATATGTGCTTTGCAATTAAATGTACCAACTATACTAGCAAAAGAGCAAAATTATCAATCGATTTATCTATAATTAAATCAGCATTAAGAACTCATTTTTTACATGATGATTTAATAAGGTATGAAAACACAGTAATGAGATAATTTAAAAATAACCAGTGGTGACTAACATTCTCTAAGTATATTAAGGTATTTGATCATGGATATGTAATTAGGCTGTCAAATTTTAAAATAAACATAATGTATACCAAAGAATGGATTTAAAATAGAATATATAAATACAAACACATGTATACCTAGTTTTAAGCCTCCTATTTTCTAAAGGAAAATTAATACCAAAAAAATAAAATACCAAGTCAGTTAAAATATTAATGCTTGCCCATAGAATATGTAGTTATCTTAGCCCATTTATATCTCACTAATCTGGTTTAAAAAATGTGTGTTTGTAAAACAAATTGATAATTACATTTACAAGAACCTTCCTAAGAGTATTATATTTGATAGGGTAACCTTGTTCTTTCTGGCAATAAAGATTTGTAGTAACAACCAGCCTAGCCATGTCTTCCTTCAGACATTTATTAAGTTAATTTACATTTGGGTTGAAAAAAATACTGAATTTTTAAAAGTTTAAAATAAAGCACACAAATAGCTCCGATTATTGTTGTAAGATACCCAGAGGAAAGGATTAGATGTAATTTCTTGTTCATGTGGTTACTTAGATGGGAAAATAGCACAAAAAGTGGGGTGGAAGTAATAATGTTAACTTAAAAATATCAGTGAAAGGGATGATTTTTAAACATTAATATTGTTACTGTTAAGAATGTTATTGAACATTTAGTGTATTGATAACAGTATACTAAATACATTTCTGTTTTTAAAAAATTACTGTTACGACCCACCTGAGACATAAGTAGCATTTATTCCCATTTGACAGCCAAGGAACTTCAGTCTCAAAAAGATTAATGTATTTTTCCAAAATCAGAAATAAGTGAAAATAAAATGGCTAAACTGCAGATCAAACAAGGTCATATGATTCCAGAGCCTGTTTTAACCACCATTTAAATTCAAATAAGTAAATTTTCTGCTCAGAATTCATAGAATCAATTTCTATTTTTCAAATCAATAATTACCATCAGCCAATCAATTGCCTAACTTAAAAATGTATTTTTTGAAATCGTACTTTTAAAGATTGCTTTATGTTGTGTCAACTCTACTACTAAGGTTCATACTGATTTTTTCATGTAGTTGAATTCACTTAATGGTGAATACATATCTACTGATTTCCCACTTTGTGTCAAACCTGGGCATATAAAGATGAAGAAATAAGGCATTATAGATATTTCAGCTAGTAAACTATTCAATTTCAAGAATGGACTCAATGAGAGTATAAACAGAAAAAGCTTTATTTTTCCTCGTCTACTTTATTTTAACTCTCCCTTCTGCCTCTGGGTATTTCAAGCAGATCTCTTCACTTATCGCTATTTCAGATATTAACTGGGTAATTAAGACTAACCTTTAGATATTAAAACATCTGTCAAATACAAACTGTCAAATACAATTTCAAAACTTTAATATCTAATTCAAAGTTTCTCTTATCTCCCAACTCAGGCACAACCTTAGCCCAATAACTTAAGGTAATGAGGGTAGAAATACTGTCTTTGAATCATTTTCCACATTTTTCCCCCTTTCACTTTCCCATTGCTCCAATGTCGGAGGAGAGGCAGACAGGAAATATCTTTCCCTCCTGGAATTTTCTTCTGTCCAAGAACGGCTCCTGTCCCAGTGCTCCTAGCTCTTTGGTAAAACAAAGCTGTGGGTTCGTTGGAGTGGTCTCCTCCCACCCTTTCCCAGGTCAATTGTCACTGTGGCCATGGGTAGTACTCTTCCTAGATGATCTCTTATAACCCTGCTCAGCTCCTAGTCCCCACCCCCAGACCCCATCCCTCCATGTCTCAGTGCTGGAGCCTGCTCGTCCTGTCTGGCAGCTGCCACTCAGTGACACTTGCCAGTGTCCACTGGCAAAAAGGAACCACAGGCTCTGCCCCACAATTGGAGAGAATGCAGCTGTTTTCCTCTGCTGCCCTTTCTTTTCCCAGCTACCATCCAGGGAAGTTCCAGCCAGCTTTCTGACTTCTGAATTCATTACAACAGAAGTGAGCATCAATCTTTAGTTATACAGTTATCTGCCCACAAACTTTAGGAAACCAAAGTCACCATATCCCATAATATTTTTCACTGTACTTCAGTTTAGTCTTATATTTTTCACAAAACGGATCATGATATCACTTCATTTGCTTTTGGCCAGCGTTCCTTGTTATGAAATGGGATGGAATAAAACAGAATAAGGGTATTCAATGCAGTTATATGCACGCGTGCACACACACACCTCTGTGTGTGTCCTAGGGTATGGCTTAAAATCTCTTACCATAATCACAGTTGAAAAACAATCTGAAGTCCCCCAGCCTAGTCTCCTGGAAGCACCAGATCTTGGGATTCTGCGGTGGAATAAACTTCCAGGTGGGGAATGAGATGCTAGCCTCCCTCCTTTAAGGCAACACAATATGATCTGGTTGCCTGCAGGCATCTCCCATTTGTGTGTTGGATGGCACCATCTTCCCCTCTACCACTTTGAAAGCACTCCTCCTTAAGGACTCCTTCATTTTTTTTTTTCTTTTAGGAGAGCAAGGTACTTTTTTTATTTAGAGATAAAGTGAAAGAACAGAGCTCCCCCGGCTTATGCCAGGAGGGGACAAGAGAGTCCCAGGACTCCTTCATTTTTTAAAGAAAAAAATATCTATTTTTCTTTTACAGATGAAAATAGGTGATGGGTATTGATATATTCTGGACCATTCTGGGCAGATTTTTAGTAAGTGTAGTATAGCTATATTTAGTACTTCTCTTTAGAGTGTTATAGTATCAATGCTCTCAGATTTGGGGCTACAACTGAAATTTAAAATAACAGAAATTATTTTCAAGTGCCATAACATTTGGTCATCATAAATTGAGAAAGTCTCTATGGAAATTAATACAATTTCGTTTTGAAACCATTTTAACTTGAATTGTGTCTCCTTGAAAATAATGCATTGTTTATGATTAATATTCTCTAATAGCTTTCAAAATACTAGTTCCCCTGTTAATTTTACCAAGTTTTTTGCTTCCTCATTATGATCTTCCATGCACCATGCCTGGGAGGAGTCATGAAGCCTTTGCACACCCACGGCCATCTCCCTTCTCAGGGATCCAGACCTCAAGTGCCCTTGGAGGATCTCGTATTGGCATGCAGCTATCCCTCCTAAGTCATAATCAGAAAACATCATGAGGGAAGCAAACGCCTTTTCCTCCGTGGTATGAGGGCAAAACCCTTTAAGACCTAACAAATAGTTCTGGGAAATGGCATTACTCACTCCCTTCAAATAATAAATATTTCCAGTGGGACTCCTCACAACTCAAACTCTGGACACCACAAACTGCATCCAGATCGCCTCAGTCCCTTCCTTATCCAGACTCTTCATTTGCCTTCTGTTTCTTTCTGTGCCAATTAGATCCCCATTTCCAACCCTATTTTACTTGCTTTGAGCTCCATTCCCAACTTTCTTTAAAGTTACTCCTATTTCAGAGTTTCCATTTCTTTGTGACTACTTACTCTCACCTGACCACACTTTAACTGAGCTCACTGTTTCCAGCCTGGTCCAACTTCGGTCCCACCAAAGGCAACTTCCACTTTTCTATATAATAAAGGTTTGGGGGTGTCATTTGGATGGTGAAACTAAGGACTCTTTCTATGTTTGTGTAACAACATTCCAATGGTTATTGCTTGTATGTTCATTTGGGATGGAAGAGTTTTTTGAAGAGAGACTAACAGCAATTATGAGGGAGGGGTATATCCTAAACCTCTGCCATCTCTTGGAACTGCACTGCCTTCTGTTGCAAAGGAGATGCCGAAAGTTTATCCACACTCTTCTCTAGCTACAGCTCTGGCTCTAACACTACTATTGTGGAAGTATTCTGCACAATAAAGTGTATTGTCTTACTCAATATTGAAGCAAGCTCAGCCATGCACTGTGGCAAAAGGCTGATGTGTAAAGAGGCAGAAATGGGATGGGTGCTCCAGAATAATCTATTTGTCACTTCTTTATCCTATACAACAAATATTCTTTCCCAATAGAGCCTTGCAAAGAAAACTATTTTCAATGTAAGAATGGAGAATGTGTCCCACTGGTGAATCTCTGTGACAGCCTCCCGCACTGTAAGGATGGCTCAGATGAAACACATTGTGGTATGTTTTATGTTTAGAAAGATACTTTTATCGATTTAGCTTCTACATTTCGACTGCACAAATGTGAAGGAAGTCTATGAATGTGTTTATTAGGACATGTTTTGGTGTACTGGGGTAAAATCATTTTCTGCACCTCTGCAGTCACCACTCATTCAAGAGAAGTTAACATGCTCATCCCGATTTTTGTTTATTTGCTTAACTTTAAGTCTAGGACAACCCATATTCAGGTAGAAAGCATAAAATACCATAGCGACAGTAGCTCACACCAGGCACTGTAGACCCTCTTATTGACCATTACACTCTGTAAATTGCTTCCAAATGGAGACATGCCCCTGTTTATTTATAACTGACTTTCTTAGAATTGGTCCTTTTCATTCTTAATTCTTCAGTATTTACTCCTCCTGTTTTGTTGAGTCTTCAGTTTGGCCTTACTTCGAGATCTCTATGACATTATGAGTAGTGGCTACTTTTACTATGTCTTAATTTTATTTCTAAGCAGATACTTAATGTAACCTACTATGTGCCATGCACTATTGGTAAGTGCTATAAAACAATCTCAGCATAATAAGAATTAGCTCTATTTTAGCCATGAGAAAACTGAGGCTTGGAGAAGTAAGTGGCTGCTAAAGATCACAAAAATCCCAGTTTGGCATTTTCAGTCTAAGTCTGTAATTCTAAAGTCAATGCTTTTACTTTTCTCTCAAGAAGACAAAAATGCAAAAATAACATTAACTTACAGAATTCCAATATGGTATTTGTGGGTAAAACTATCATCACTGATGTTTTACTAGTTTGATACCCTAGCTTGGCTTGACCCAATCCCTACCAAGCCATTAATGGCCTTAACACTCCATCCAAAATGCTTGTAAGGTAGGGGGGAAGAAACCTGTGCTTGTAAGGTAGGAAACCAAACAGCAAAAGAACAAGGCCAAAGAAAATAGTTCCTGGAGAAAGAAATAGGAAGAAAAATGCCTAGAGTTTTTGTTCCTGAACTTGAGTTTTCCTTCTTTTACAGACTAAGTTTGTAAGATATGGCTTTCACAATTAACTTTATTTTCATTTATTTACTATACTGATACACAATGAACTTGCATACCTCTGTTTTTTCCATTTGTATGGTTATATAAAAGAGCAAAATTAGGTCTACTGTATTTGTATTTTTCAACTGAGGCCTTTGAACATACACTTAAGAAAAATTAGTCAATTTCTAAACTCTAAATATTAAAAATATTGCACATTCAGTTTAGAGTTCATCATATACTTCTATCAATTTCGGTCAAAATGACTTTGCATGTAATCTAATCTCTTTAGTGCGTCTTTTCAATGACACAACAAACAGTGGTTTGGTGGAGTTCAGAATCCAGAACACTTGGCATGTAGCTTGTGCTGAGAACTGGACCACCCAGATTTCAAATGATGTTTGTCAACTGCTGGGACTTGGGTAAGTACCTCTACTCAGCTCCCTTTTAAGAGATTCCCAAACTTTTTTATTGGTATCACAGTGGGTTTATTAAGAAATTTAAAATGTATGGAAGGTATGAATTTAGAAAATACACAGAAAAAAGGATAAAGAAGCAAAGGAAGAAAATAAAAATTTTGATTAATCCCCAGTCTCAAAAGATAACTACTGTTAATAGTTCTTATATAAATATTGTATGAATATATGACAATTGTATATTATAAAATCATATGAAATACACCATGCTCTGTTTTGTAACCTACTTACATAGTATTAGCCTATTTTCTCATGTCATTAAATATTTTATAACTAATCACAGGGTACCAGAGAACACATGTTTTGCTATATCTTTGTAACATGTTCACAGTAGGTCTTTAGGAACATTTATAGCAATATAATCATTGTGAGAAAGGACATGCAAAATGTCAAGACTTTCCCAAGAAGGGTAAGACACAATTCCATATTAATGCCTCCCAAAAATGTATTATACTTCCCAGCTTAATGTCATAATATATAACATCAAAGTTCACCATATTCATTTTTTAACCTTCCCATCAGTCTCAAAAGTAATGAGGTTAAAAATAGAAGGTAGTAAGTTGTAATAATTTGCTTCTTTTAACTTGTAAAACTTCAGTTTACAATTCTGATCCTTTGGTGTTTGTATTTGGAAGATTTAAACATATTGGGCCACATAGTTATTTTACCACTTACAAAAGTCTGTAAATGTAAGAACCATGTCAGTATTTTCTGTTACTGCATTGTTAACATCTAGACATATCCTTGTCTCATAATACAGAGGCTAAATATTTGTTGAAACAATTATTCATTACATATACATATATGTTTATATATATATTTAGCTATCTAAATGTTTGCCGAAAGTTGTCCAATTACAGATCATAATCATTTTCCTTCTGTCCTAAACTGGGGAACAGTTTTCTAATTTATTCTTAAAGATGCTACAAAGCTACAATGGAAAATAATCCACATCACATAGTCTCAACATTTGGCAGTTAATCTTAACTATTCCCAGTTCGTCAAAATCAAATGTAAGTGGTTGCTTCTTTCTAACTAATTAATAATTCATATAAACCAGAGTGTTCATCCTATACACAGATTTTCAAAATTTATTTCAAAATGTTTATTTTTTAACCTAAAACATATTTTTCACTAGAAATAGAGTTGGTACAGTGGTTCGGTCTTAGTGTAGCCCATAAGAGCTGTTTAGTTTCTAGAAGACTGGGAGAATTATATTGTCCAGATAATATCCAGCCACCACATATAGGTATTTAAACCATAGGAAAATGTGTTGAAGTCCTAATTTGAGTGTTGGAAGTGCACCAGAACTTCTTGCAGTTGGATTGAGAGCTTTTACCTCCTAAAATGCGATTCATTCAAAAACAGCCTTTCCACATGGGAAGGAGTTGAGACATAAAGAGTCCTGGAGAAGAGTAAGTTGTAGGGGGATAATGTTTTTTGATAAAGAGTCAACAAAACACTGAACCTCACAGTTTATTTTCACTTCAGGTAAAGTACTGGGTAAGTGGCATTGATTCCGGATTCCTACATAAACGTTGATTTTAGTTCAATAATGAGTTGATACAGGTAAGGCTCTAGGAAGTCATTTGCTTCCACTATTGAAGTTGCCAGTAATGCTGAGAAGCTGTTTTATAGACTTAGGAATTTAGTAAAGATTAGACTAAGGAGACTGGTGACTTGACTTTGCTTCCACAACTGACAAATCTGAATGCTCCAGACGGTGGGGTTTTCACTGCAGAGGAGTTTGTGTTTCAATTCCCCACCTATCTAAGCATCCCTATGATTATAAACCCAGCAATTTTTCCACTGTAGTTTTTGTGTCTTAAGTAAATTGTTTCCTACAGATTAATATGGGTATTCAGATGAACTATTTAAAAGGATAAAAAAATTGAACACTCTTTGATAGTTTTTAAATGAATTTGAATGAAATATGTTGTGTGATAGCATAATGCTGATTCTTATAATTGCATGCAAGCATGTATTAGAAAGAAATCATGTATCTTTATTACTTTTTAACACTTGCTAATATAAATAAACTATTTTGATTACTTCCAGATCAGAAATTTAAGCATTATATTGTGTTTGTTCCATGGATGAACAAGACATCGTTTTTGTTTTGAATGTGGTGGGGACAGACAAATGAGTAGGTCATTACACTATAATGTGATAAATACAAAGAAGTATAGGAGAACCTACATAATTTGTGCATGTCAGAAAAGGCTTTCTAGAAAATGGCCTGTGCTGAGTGGATGGCAGCCGTTTCCATACACCAATGTACTTTCTATTTACATGTTTTCCCCAGCCAGATTTTACTCTCTAGTTCACTGACCTCATTTCCTATGAATGACAGTCCTTCCAGAAGGAAACAGGGACAAAAAAACTAGATTTTTATTGTATCTAAGACACGTAGTACATCTCACTGCCTTGGAGACAATATTTTTGATGAAGGTCAGCCACTTGCTTTCTTCAGAAATGAGCCAGGTAATTTCTGCAAAGACTTTAATCTTTGGGCCTGCAGTTATTAAACAGCCGCCATAGTGTTCTAGTAATTTAAAGAAACTTACAGCCTTAATGAGAATTTGTCTAGACTGGTGCATGGTAACTGAAAGAAAGCTTAGCGAGTTTAAAATGATGTGTTTGGTACAGTGGAAAGTAATTTAGGAGTCAATTTATTAAAAAGGGACTGTAGTCTCTCAAGATTATTTATGCAGATAGGGTACAAAATGCAATTCCCCAAAGATTTTAGTAAATCATATGAGGCAGATTTCATCAGCCTTCCCTTTTTTTAAATGACACATTTTCATTCCCTGCCATTTATAGCATGCATAACCAAAAAGTACTTTAAATAACATTTTCATCTTTCTGATCAAAGTATGAAAGAAAACATTTTATACTGATGCAAGAATAAGTATTAAAGAAACTTAGAGTAGTGATTTTTAAAATGATATTTCCTAGGAAATCAAACTACCCTGTTACTAACCCATAAATGAACTATGCAGTTGATTAACCATATAAGCCATTAAAAACCAGAAGTCATCAGGTCTGGACAGCTTTACAGAATATAGGAAATATGTATTAAAAATAGTTACATGTATCTCCATTAAGCAGCCTATGAAGAGTTGGTATTAATTTTTTTATTAAGGTATTATTAATATACACTCTTATGAATGTTTCACATGAAAAACAATGTGGTTACTACATTCACCCATATTATGAAGTCCCCACCCACACCCCATTGCAATCACTGTCCATCAGTGTAGTAAGATGCCACAATTTCACTATTTGCCTTCTCTGTGTTACACTGTCTTCCCGAGACCCCCCACACCATGTGGACTAAACATAATAACCCTCTATCCCCTACTCCCTCCCTCCCCAACTACTCTCACACACTCCTCCCCTTTGGTAAGGGCCAGTCTCTTCTTGGAGTCTGTGGGTCTGCTGCTCTTTTGTTCCTTCAGTTTTGCTTCATTGTTATACTCCACAAATGAGGGAAATCGTTTGGCACTTGTCTTTCTCTCCCTGACTTATTACACTGAGCATAATATCCTCCACCTCCATCCATGTTGTTGCAAATGGTAGGATTTGTTTCTTTCTTATGGCTGAATAGTATTCCATTGTGTATATGTAGTACATCTTCTTTATCCATTCATCTACAGATGGATACTTAGGTTGCTTCCATTTTTTGGCTATTGTGAATAGTGCAGCAATAAACATAGGGGTGCATACGTTCTTTTGAATCTGAAAACTTGTATTCTTTGGGAAAATTCCTAGGAGTGGGATTCCCTCGTCGAATGGTATTTCTATTTCTAGTTTTTTGAGGAACCTCCATACTGCTTTCTACAATGGTTGAACTAGCTTACATTCCCATCAGCAGTGTAGGAGGGTTCCCCTTTCTCCGCATTCTCGCCAGCATTTGTTGTTCTTAGTCTTTTTGATACTGGCCATCCTTGCTGGTGTGAGATGATATCTCATTGTAGTTTTTATTTTCATTTCCCTGATGAGTAGTGCTGTGCTGTGGAACATCTTTTCATGTGTCTGTTGGCCATCTGAATTTCTTCTTTGGAGAACTGTCTCTTCATATACTCTGCCCATTTTTTAATCAGATTATTTGCTTTTTGGGTGTTGAGACATGTGAGTTCTTTACATATTTTGGACGTTAACCCCTTGTCAAATATCTCATTTACAAATATATTCTCCCATACTCTAGGATCTTTTTATTCTGTTGATGGTGTCCTTTGCTGTACCAAAGCTTTTTAGTTTGATGTAGTCTCATGTGTTAATTTTTGCTTTTGTTTCCCTTGCTCAAGGAGATGCGTTCAGGAAGAAGTTGCTCATGTTTATATTCAGGAGATTTTTGCCCATGTTGTTTTCTAAGAGTTTTATGGTTTCATGATTTACATTCAGGTCTTTGATCCATTTTGAGTTTACTTTTGTATATGGGGTTAGACAATAATCTAGTTTCATTATCTTGCATGTAGCTGTCCAGTTTTGCCAACACCAGTTGTTGAAGAGGCTGTCATTTCCCCATTGTGTGTCCATAGCTCTTTTATCATGCATTAATTGACCATATATGGTTGGGTCTATATTTGTGTTCTTTAGTCTGTTCCATTGGTCTATTGTTCTGTTCTTGTGCCAGTACCAAGCTGTCTTGATTACTGAGGCCTTGTAGTAGAGCTTGAAGTCAGGGAGCGTAATCCCTCAGTTTTATTCTTCCTTCTCTGGATTGCTTTGGCTATTTGGGGTCTTTTGTGGTTCCACAAGAATTTTAGAATGATTTGGCCTTGTTCATTGAAGAATGCTGTTGGTATTTTGATAGGAATTGCATTGAATCTGTACATTGCTTTAGGCAGTACATCTTGACCATCTTGACAATATTAATTCTTCCTATCCATGAGCACGGGATGTGTTTCCATTTATTTGTATCTTCTTTAATTTCTCTCATG